ACGCATTTTTATTGGTTTGTGTCACCAGCAGATCAAAAAATTCACGATTCTTATTGGTTACCACGTGATCTGAACACATTTTTTTCTCCACTCCATAACGCGCGTAAAATAAAAACACGATAATTAAAATGCAGACCACTCTTGACTTTTTTGCCACATTAACTGAAAAAACTGATACATCTACAGCATCGAAGAAACTCACCAAGTCAACTACTCGTACTAAAAAAATGAGTACAAGAGTCGCGAACAAATCTAGTGAAACTTTTACCCTCAACAAGTCTCGTCGTACTAAAAATAATTTGATTGTATTGGAAGAGGGAAGCAAGCGAATTCCGCTTGTTGTCCTTCCTCCTAATATTTCTAATAGTACTTCAAATGGTCAGAGGCAACAACATAGTTCAAGTCACAAAGAAAACCTTGTTAATTTAAAAGAAGAAAAGCAACGCAAAGATACTTATTCTCACCACTTGACTGATAAAAAAACTACTAACAAGAAAAGTGATTCGGTTACTTCGCTTGATGACGTATTTGATTTGAAAGAGGTGGGAAATGATGAACATGCTACGACGACACATTTGGATGAGAAGCGTGCAATTGGTAAAGATAAAAACTATGAAAATTTAGACGCTTCAGTTAATGAATTGATAAAGAATTTGCGCAGTCATTATAAGGTAACAATAAAATATTTTAATAAAGTTTATATGCTATTCTATGGCTTACTGTTATTTATTAAAAAAAAAAGGTTGGCGCAAAATCGAAAAAGATAAATGAAAAGAAAATCCACCAGCAAGAAGAAATTCTGTCAAACAAATTAAAGAACCTCTTGAAATTCCACCTCGAAAAAGTGATCATTTTGATTTTACTATTTTTGAATAAATATTTTCTTTATAGCTTGATATTAATCAATTAATTATTATAGATTTGCCAGATTATAGATGAAAATGAAAACAACAACAATCATCTCGAAAAGGAATACATAGAGAGGGAAAAGGTTAAAGAAGACTTGGAAAGTTCGAGTTTGACACCAGATCAAAAAGCAACATCAATCCTATCAAACGATCCAAGCGATTCTTCAATCCAATCTTTACCGCCCCCGTTAAAATTGTCTTTTGAGTTGCCATCCTCTTTTCAACGGAAAGATCACGAAATTCAATACAGTTATACTCGTTCGGAAGATATACTGAAGAATCCTAATTATGGATTTTCCAGGAATTTAGACGATGATGAGGTTCCTCTTGCGGGTGAAAAAGAAAGAATATATTTCCAAAATCATCATGACAAATCGAGCATCAACCAATTTAACATTAGTTCGGTGAATAATCAGATCATAAAAGAGCAACAGTCGTCTACATTAGAAGTTGACGATAAAGTATTGCAAAATTATTTCGATGATTATTATAATGATGATTGTTATTATGAGCCTTCTATAGATTTTTCTCCAATAAAGCAACCGCAAAGTGTATTTTCAGAGAAGCAAATAGGTGAAGCTCCTCAAGCTCTAAGCATGCCTAAGATAGTGAAAAAAAATAAGAAAAAAGAGTCTATCGAATTATTAAAACCGAATTTCCAGGGAAATGTAAAAAATTCAGTAATACCAGACGAAGGTATTCCAGATTATACTCATATGACCTTGGAAGAGTTGAAGGTTTGCGGGTGAAATATTTCTGTTAAGGTGAAAAGAGAAAGAATTTTGAATTAATCACTTTTACGATAGGTAGCGGTATCAAAATACGGAATTCGACCAAGTTCTAGAAATATCATGATAAAACAGCTTCAGACTCTATGGGAGAGCTTAAGTAAGATTAATACAGGAAACTTGGATACATCTAACTCTGTTAGTCGTCGAGCTAATATCTTATCTGAACGACAGAAAAAACAGTCAGCTGATCCCATTATTAAATCTGTTGTCACATATGACGATGAGAAGAACGACGAAGCTCTTTCTGAATCCAGTAGTGATGATGATGACCTGCCGCTTCTAGATCTTATTGATTCTTTTGACATCATGAGCGGTGAATATCCATTAGAAGAGGACATAGCCAAACAAATCAACGATTATATATGCTCGAACAAACGATTATGGCTGAGCATACTAGAATATCAAGTTCGTAAATGTTTGCTCTTTACAGTTATTATATACGCTTCTAAATTTTATTACTATGTTTTTCATAGGATATTAACTTCGACCAAACTTTGAGAGATCTCAATAATGCAGGAATTAATTGCAACTCAAGTCAGTTACGTGCTTTCATGGATAGTCAAGTGGGTTTTTCCTCCATTATTTTTTTCTATTTCATGTTTGATTTTTTATAACAATCACTTTATATAATTCCGCAAAAGGCAATTATCTCAAAGTCAAATGAAGGCACGAATAAATGGAAATCAAAAAAGAAAACGCCTAAAGCTAGAGCTAAAAAAATTAATGGGAACAAGAATGCATTTAATGTAAGCTCGTATGTAAACATATAGAATGTATTTATATAATGTGATTACATTGAATTAGAAACAATAAATCAAGTTCCCTTTTTCGATTTTTTATTATTATTTACAATAAACATCTAACAATAACACGTGACCTATCGGTCGACTAATAGATCATGTGTTATTGTAATACTGTTTCTTCCATTCCTTTTTACAGGAATGATTCAAGATGTGTTGCTTAGTGCTCGAAGAGGTAACGATCTTACATATCAGAAGGATGATACAAAATGAGTCATTTAGTGCTCGAAGGGATAATAATCTTACGTATAATCCCAACGGCACTATTATCTATTTGTAAAGTGAAAGAGGAAGTTCGGCCATAGATCGTTTTTTATGTATCCGGCCTGTTCTTTTTCATCAATAAATTCAATAGAACATTTTCTTTGTTTATTGTTATATTCTTGATTAGAGATTAATTGAAACTCGATCTTAGCATCATTTTTAATCTTGATTATTCGTTGAGAGGAATGTGACATCAGCCATCTTGAGTTGTAATTCTTGTATTGCATTTTGGCTTTGCCTTTAAGTTTATTGTTGTATTTGATTTTGAAGGAGAGTTTCTTATCAGACATTTGGCTTTTGAAGACATTTTGAAGTTATGTCAAAGTTGAAATTTGTATTCTTTTATTAAAATTATTTCTAACTCTTAACTGTAAGAAATTCAATTTTGTTGACATTTTATCATTCTTCATAGATTTTTTGAAGACATGATAAATGACAAAACTTTAATAAATCATTATTATGATTATTTGATAATGATGATTGTGCTATATATATTATTGAAATTTGATTATTATTTTGTTGAACTTGCAGTTTAAATATATTGTTGTTGTTGTTAGTTGTTGATGGATGTGAATAAGAGGATGGATAGTGCTGTTGTATGAATATATAATTTGATTTCATAATTATCTGAAGTACTATTAGTTGTTAATAAAAGAAGAATATTTGGTAATGCTGACATATTAATTTCATTATTAGATGATGTTGATAAACTATTATAAGTAATTTTTAATGGCTGAAATAAAGATGATTTTAATTTATTTGAGGATTTAAACATAAGAAATATTGTTAAAGCATTATAAATAAGTTTCAATAACCAGAATAGAAATGATTTAAATATAGAAAATGCCTTTTGCAAAATTTTATTTCAAAGATTATTGCTATTATTATTATTCCTATTTGCTACAGTGTAGTCGCACTCTAATTCTATACTAATTTAACTTACAAAGTAAGAATTACAAATTAAATTTAAAGAAAAGAGCCATCAGAAAATCTAAAATAGAGAATC